CTCCCCTCAGGAAGGAGGTTAAGGAGCATTAAGTGTAGAACCACTAGACTGAGGAACAGCTTCTACCCTGAGGCTGTTAGACTCATGAATCTCTAACCAGAATAATCACTGTGAAAAACCATATCATGTTGCTGCTGATCTGTTTCATGTTGCTGCTGATCTGTTTCAATGTTGATGTGTTCATGCGTGCACATCTGCTCACAGGCTCATGTTCATGTTTGTGCTGATGTTCAATGTTTTATGTTATGAGTGCTTAGTGTATATTTAGTTGATGTTTTTCTTAGTTCATATCTTAGATGTTATTACTGTTTTTCTTATACATTTTATTGTTGGATGTAACTGGGACCCCGTGTACATAATTTCGCTCCACCACATGTACAACATGAGGTGCGAATGACAATAAAGAAACTTTGACTCTGACTCTACTTTAGTGCCTCTTTCCTGCGGGATCCCGCAAGGCTCCATTCTTGGACCCTTTCTGTTTTTATTTATTTAAGTAGTTAATTTAACAACTAACTATTTATCTAAGAATCTACATAATTACTAAAATAATTTGTCAGAGGGCTATATTATCTGAGCGAGGAGATCAGAGAGCTTTTTTGCTTGTGGTTTTTTAGCACTGTCTAATGAAAGTTTTAACAACTGGAGTTCTTGTTTGAATACAGACCATAATGGTTTAGACTTGCCATATCTGCATTTATGTATATAGAATTTTAATATTATGATAATGTTATTGACAAAGTATTCATCTTTTTTATTTTCAGATACATATCCATATAATATATTCTGAACGGAGAAGGAGTCTATGTTCATAGATTTGATGGTCAGGATATCGTGAAGGGATTTCCATAATGTGTTCACAGAATGACAGAAATAGAATAAATGTTCTGTTGTTTCAGGTTCGTTACATATATAACAGTTATCACATTCAAATTTAAATCTATTTCTGATAAACTCGTTAGAAGGATAAATATTATTTAGAGATTTGAAATGTAATTCTTTATATTTAGGTGGAAGAGGGAAACCCAGATATGTTGTCATTATTTTTATTCTTTCCTTCTTATCATAGAAATCGTGAAACTTTCTTCTTACCTGACCAGAATATAGTTTTTATTAAATGTTGTCTTAAAAATTTGTTGTTGCATTTATTGTGTGTTAAATTTAGTCCATTGAGATTGATGCTCGGTAAACTAATTGTTGGTTTAGTTTCATAAATATTCTTTATTAACTGAACAAATGCAATTGGTATATTTTTTGTTACTTAATCATAGTCTTTTTTGGTACAGATTAGATTATATTTTTTTGTGAATTCTTCATAGTCATATAAATTTCCCTTTTCATCCATGAGATGAGTGAGTGACCATATTTGTTTCTCCATCCATGTTTCCATGAACACAGACTTCCTTCTATGTAAAACGACTCTGTTGTTCCAAAAAGGAACATTATGAGGACTGAAGTTATGTTTGTATGCTAGTTTCCAGTTCAGTAACACCTGTTGGTGAAAAGCAGATAATTTAACAGGTAATTTAGGAATGTCAAAGTCACATCTTAACAGGAAGTCAGTACCTCCAACTTTACTAAAAACCAAAGTGGGGACAGCAAACCAAAGCTCATGACCATTTTTAAGAAAAGATTGAAGCCATTTAAGTTTTAATACGCCATTCATTATTTCAAAATCTATTGCTTTAATCCCACCATCTTCATAATTTTTAACTGTATCTCCTTTTTTGATATAATGATGTTTATTTCTCCAAATAAAGTTAGTTTAATTTATTAATTTCCTTAATAATCTTTGGAGGTATGGCTATGGGGGATGCAGGGTAAACCAGTCTTGATAGAGTCTCCATTTTGGTTAGTAATGTCCTACCAGAAAGAGTCAAGTCTCTCTGCAACCAGTTATTTAATATCAATTTGCATTTAGTAATATTATTGTCAACATTCAGTTTGACACAATTGCCTGCAGTTTTTGTGACCCAAATGCCCAGATATCGAACCTCCAGTTTGACCGGTATATTGTAATAAGATGATTGAGAACAATCAAGAATACTCATTAATTCACACTTTTCCAAATTTAACTTTAATCCTGATGCTTTAGAGAATGCTTCTACTGTTT